ACCTACAACAGGCAGAAGAGCTGGCTCCTAGGTCATGAGAATGGGATAACTGGCCATGTGCCTCACTGGTTACAGGTCCTGTACTGCACCTGGGCAGCAGGGTAGGGCTGGCTCTGGCTGCCTGGGGGTGGCAGCGTAGGGACAGAGGTAGGGGTGGGGAGTGGGAGTGTGTAGGGCAGGGATGAGGCAGCCCTGGGGTGTGAGAGCAGGAGAGCCCACCTCCATCTACCCCATTTGTGAATCAGCTGGAGTCCATGAAGGACCTAATCCCACAGGATTTCATGGCACAGGGCAACAGGAGAATATCCAAAAGGATTCTCAGTGAGCGTAGCACAAGTCAGAGGCCTCGAATCAGACCAACACAGTGCACAACTGCAAACAAAGAAGTGTGGACAAAACAGTACACTGTGGGACACACTGTGACACACTACAGCTTCCACGAGATAGTCTTTCTCTGTTGTTGGGGAGGTTGCAAGGGTGGAGGGTGGGCATGAGAGAAGGTGAAGATGAGTGGGACTGGGGTGTATGATGTGAAATTCACAAAGAGCTGATGAAAAGTTTAAAGAAACTGATATGGGTATACACATCCATGTACTTGCATGTAGAAGCCAAGGGAAGACACAATGGGAACTTTCCCATTGCTTTCTTATGTTTTTGAGATAGGGTCTCTGACTGGACCTGAAACTCACCATTGCAGATAGGCCGACTCATGAGTGAGCTCTGGGACTCACGTCTCCACTCAGTAACACTGATGCTGCAAGCTGAGCGATGCCCAGCTGTCACTGGAGCGCTGGGGATTTGAATTCAGATCCTCTCACTGGGGCAGCAGATACTCTTACTGAAGCCACCTCACCTGATTTGGGTAGCTCAGAAATCTAGGGCAGAACCAAACAACCTGTGAAACAACCAAAATCAATGAAGTGGTTCCTAACGATGGTCTGCTATGCTTGGTGCCTTGGCCTATGGACACTGGAGAGGCTTCCTCGGGCAGCAGAGGGGAGCAGGTGCTGAGACCCACAGCCAGCTTTGTGCTCAGTCTAAATTGGAGGTCTCTGTCAGGTCCCTCCTCAGAGCTCAGGGAACCCCATGGAACAGGTGAAGACTGTAGGGATCGGAGGGGATGGAGGGGCCAGGAGAACAGGCCCACTGAATCCAGTAAGCAGGGCTCGTGTGGCTCATAAGAGATTGAAAGGGCAAGGTCTGTAAGGGTCTGCACCAGGTCTTCCGTGTATGTGTTATGGCCATGCATTAACTCTGTGCAATGGGAGTGGGTGTACCTCTGACTCTTCTGCCTGTTTTTGGGACTCTACTTCCAGTTGGGTTGCCTTGTCCAGCCTTGATATGAGGGCTTTTGCTGTGTCTACTTGTATCTTGTTTTATCATGTTTGGCTGTTATCTCTTGGGAGCCCTACTCTTTTCTGAAAAGGAAACAGAGGGGAGTTTCTGAAAAGGGATCTGAGAGTGAGGGGAGGAGGGGGAGCTAGGAGGAGTGGATAGAGAACACTGTGCCTGTATGGTGGTATAAGAAAAGAATCTATTTTTCAATAAAAAAAGGATTTACTTTTATATGTATTAGTGTTTTGCCTAAATGAGCATATGTGCACTGTGTGTGTGTCTGGCATTTGAAGAGGCCTGGAGAGAGTGTTTGCATCCTCTGGAACTAGAGTTTCAGACGGCTGTGAGCCACCACGTGGATGCTGGGAACCAACCCGGGGTCCTCTGCAAGAGCAGCCAGTTCTGTTAACCACTGAGCCGTCTCTCCAGACCCAACACTGAGTCCTGGATTTTGCAAACTGCTTAAGCTCCCTGGCCACAGCTTTGTCACCACAAAGGTCTGTGGCACCTGTGTGGCTTTGTGCTGGAGATTAACTGAGATAAGGCACAAGTGATCAACAGCACCACAGTACTATGTGAAGAAACGGTTCAATAGTTTGCCAGTCTTCAGAGGGTACAACATTGGAAAATAACTCGTCTTCTGGGCATTAGAAAGGGCTGTGCATGGACATTCAAAGCAGAGGCAGCAATGGGGACACCACTGTGGTGACCCAATTCAAAGTATAATTAAACTTGCTTAAGAAATAATAATAAATTCCTGTGCTATCAAAAGAACAATTTACCTCTTCCAACTTGTGACTTAAAAGGAACAAAAATACAGGGGCTGACCCTTTGTTTGGATGCCCCAGACACCACACGCTTGCCATTTTCAACAGACTGTTATTTCCAAAGGACAACAGCTTTTCTTCCCCAGCTTCTTTGGTAAGGATACGTCACAGTATGTTAGGAAGAGAACAACTCAGGACATCACATTGAGGACACAGACCGTGCATTACTGAGAGCCAGGCAGAAGCAGTGGCTCAGAGCAAACCTGTGTTAACCATCTATTCTGCATCATGAACACCTTTACTGTGGACGGTGTGTTGTTAGTAACATGTGCCCTCTGACTGTGCACTGCTATTTTTATTTTGGCTAAGAAGACAAGGAAGATGCTAAATAATCCACCCCCGACACACATTATGAGTAAATGTATTTCAGTTTTTTCTCCCATTTACCAAATCTTGGCTTATGGAACCATAAATTAAAACAACAAACAAAAAGAAACAGTCCTCCACAGTGCAGTGGTGCAGACTACCAAGAGCCTGCTGAAGATGACAACTGGGTGCCATAGCTCAGGATCAGACAGGAAATATCAAAATGAGAGCAAAATAACCAAGGAAAGTGACAATTTTTGTCAAAGTCTTGCTGTGCTGCCATCTTTTTCTTAAAATTCTTTTGAGGGGACATTTTAAAGTCAAACTAAACTAACGGAGAATTTCCCTCAACAGGTTCTCTAAGGTAGTGTGACATCAAATCCACTGGAGAAGCCAAAGGGAAGTCCCTGCATCTCAACAACCCAGACCTTGAGTTCCTGACTGCTGGGACCTAGGTGACTGCTGGGGCCTGGGTGAGAGCATTTCCAGTCCCCTGTGAACTGGGGATTATACCTCAAGGCTCCCAAACAGCTGCAGGCCTACAGTCTAGTGAGCGTTCACCAAAGGAAGTCAGGACTACCGACAACAGTGCTGACAGCCACCACATTTATTTGTTTGTCTTTGAGACAGGTCCTGGCTAGCTTAGAACTCACTATATAGAGCAGGCTAGTCTTAAAATCACAGAGATCCACCTGCCTCTGTCTCCCTAGAGCTGGGAGCTCCCTAGTTAGGGCTGTGGGCCACCAGGCTTGCCTTGATGGCTACTGTTAAGCAAGATATCTCCTCATATAGTTTTAAGAACACCAAGAGAGGTGCTAAGACTTAAGCAAGGATGCATTCAAAGATAATTTCTTATAGTCAAGGCTCTATGTAAACAGCTTGTAACCAAAATGCTGACCTAGATTTTAAAGGTCTTTTAAAAGCTACCCAGAAATCATCAGTATTTATGACTTTGAACAACGACAACAATATCATCAAAACGCTGCTGGGAAACAAAGTCAGATTCTAAAAATGGGTAAAAATCAAAAGTCTGAGAAAAACCAAACAATGGATGCAAGTGTGGGAAGCCTTCCACCCCGGCCATGCACAAGACAGTCAGCAGAGGGCCAAGTCAGCAGCGAGGAAGTGACGCAACAGGAGCCCGAGTCACGGATGTGGCAGAGAACAGCTGACAGACACCGGAAGCCCTTGGGTTACAGCCTGCTGCACTAGGTAACAAGGACTGTTTGAAACGCTGTCCAGAAGAACTTTGAAATTCTAACTATGAACAAAACACCCATCATAGCATGTGCTATTTAAGATTTTTGTTTTATGGAATAAAACAACAGAAAAGGAAGGCGGAGTTAAATGGAGGAAGGAGACTGGTACCATAAGTGGAAGTGGACATCCGTGTTCAGGAGCTGGGAATGACCACACTGTCCAGTGCAACTCACCAGGCAGTTCTGTCCTGGTCCAGAAGGTGAATCTATTTTTAACCCTGGGTTGAAACAGTAGCTCAGATCACAACAAGCTTCCCATCATAAGCTTACTGCTTTATCTTTCTATGCCTCCAATAACCGACTGTCTCGACACCCCTTGACATTCATCCCTGAAGGGCTCTGAACAGGATGCTCAGGGGATGTCCTCTGCATCCTTGGGTTTAACTAACCAAGGACTGAAAATACAGTAACACCTGTATCTCTACTGAACACGCAGGCTCTTTTCAAGTCATTGAGGAGGACAGGGAACCGGCTGTTACACACCACCTGTCTTGCCGCAGCTGCTGTGAGCCACCTAGAGATGGTCTGACGTTCACAGGGGGATAGGCAGAGTTTATAAGCAAACTCCACTGAAGGACTGCAGCGTGCACAAACTGTACCATCAGAGAGGGTCCTGGAAGGAAAGTCTCATGGACACCGAGGGACAACTGTACTGATAAGTACCAATAATCAAGATGGCAACATATAAGGTTTAGTTCAGTGCTTTTGCTAAAGTTAGAGGAGACAGTATTTTTGCTATAAGGTCCACTTTTTCATCAGTTCAGCCAAAGACAGCTGACACTGATGGAACATTCAACCATGTGGCAAGGCTAAAATTCATGCGGCATTAGCTTCTGAGGTAGAAAATTTACTGCTTGTCATTTAATACATAAAACAGCTAATGCTTAAGTATCACAGTTTGCAAACAGCATAAAGATGAGTTGAATCCCATTTTAACACAGAAAATCCAGTCTAATCAATCATGAGATTGGTTTGTGGGTCTTTAAACACCTATGTATCTCTTTTGAATTCTTATGTGTTCTCTGCATTGATGTATCCTTTTATCCACAATCCTTTAGTAAGAAGCACATCTAGAAAACACCTGGCCCGCCTTTGCTCACATAGTCCTTACCCAGGCAAGGAGAAACAGTCGGGACACGACCATGGGCAGGCAGAGATGGCGTGCTTCTGGTATGGCACTGGCATCTTACGCCAGTGAGGTCTGGGGGACACTTTGACTTGCCATTTGGGCTTAGAGTAGGAATTTGTAGGTCAAACACCGAGAAACCAAGAATTCTGAGGAGCCCTTTATTACCTCATCAAATCATGTCCATAAGCAATTAATTCTGTTAAAAACACTGGCTTAAACAATCAAGTCATAGTACATGCTACATACACCTGGTGACAAGAGGGCTAGTTTGTTTCTATGAGTGTGAGGTGAAGAAGCATGTTAGGAACAGCAGCCCCGACGCAGGCCTACCAAGCCCTGTGGAGCCAGTGTTAGGACCATGATGGAGTGCTTTTTACCAGCCTGAAAAGCAAATATGGGCTGTGTCTGCTTCAAGAGGCATGGTGTCACCACACTTTATCGAAAATGGATCACTGCAGACCTGTCATAGACAGAGCAGAGAGGGGCAAGAGCCATCAAGGAGAGGCAAGCCCACACATCAGCACAGAGCCAGGGGGAAATCCTGGCTTCTGGACAAATGCCTTGGGGGACAGAATGCCAGTCCCTAATTTCCCTGGGAAAGAACAAATTGCTATGCAAATGATCAATAAATAGCCACATGAGAGCAGTTACTTTCTCACTCTGCCTTTGGACACCAAGTCTGCATAGGCAGTGTGCAGGAAGTCGTGCAGCTGCTTGGCATTTCCCGAGTGCCCCAGGATGCTCGTGAGCTGCTCCAGGGACAGGGTGGCCAGCTCTGCGATGTTCTTCACTTGATTCATCAGGGAGCGACAGTTCTTGGCGTTGACCCCAGGCATCTTTAGCACAAAGTCTTGGGGGCCGGGGTTATACCTGTCTGACTCAGGCAGTGTTTCTGAGTCCGCGGTGATGGCCATGGCTGTGGCTGCATCAGGCTGTGGCTTATTCTGCTTCAGCTCCTCAAACAGCTCGGCTGTGGCATGGGGGGAGGGGCACCAGAGCAGCCGCAGGCGTGGGAAGTGCAAGGTGAGGAGTGTGAGCTTGGAGCTCACGTCATTGCTGCTCATCTCTTGGAAGAAGGCACCTCGTGGTGCCAAGGAGAAGGGCTTGCTCGGGTCAAACTCAATGAGCAGCACAGGCCTCCGGTAGTAGCGGGACATGGCTAAGCACTGGCTGTACAGTCGGCCACTGTGCAGAGAGCCAATAAGGTCACTTACGCTCTTGCGCTCCACACACAGCTCGGGTGTCAGGATGTAATCACCCACCTCCAGAGTCACTGGCTCTATGTCAATGCCCCGCCGATGGATCAGGGATGGGAGCTCGCTCCGAAACTCACGCATGTCCACCACGATGCTGGGCTGTGAGCCATTCCGCTCCTGGCCACCTATGAAAAGGGGAATTTAGGTTGGGTCACAGGGAAGAGCACTTAGAGATGACTTTGTATAGGTTTAAATGTTTCTGTTGTTAAAGTTGGATAAATTTAACACTTAAGCTATAGCACTTTCTATCATTCTAAAAACAGAATTTATTAAATGGAGTCAACATGAAAGTCAGACTGTGCTTGTAGTTTGTGTCTTACAACGGCACAAACGCCTTTGCTCTGCTTCCCCTCTGCTCTCATGGAGAGTATGCATGTATGTATGTATGCATGCATACATGCATGTGCTGGTCCTTATATTTCTAGGCCCTATGTGCAACAGGGGCTAAGAAGACTGCCTTCTGAACTACTGTCTTTGCCTTTGGGTCTAGGGATGATGGGAAAGGGAAGATGCTGGGAACAGTTCTTACTCACGGATGTGCTACCTGGAGCTATGCTAGCAAGCAGATTCTGAACGCGGCAGGCGTGTGGGACCAAAAGCTCAAAAACTGCATTTTCAACAAACTCCAGGGATGTTAATGCTGTTGCTTTAAGAACAACCTCATTTGGGTATGAGTGCAATCTGTGTGTGTATATATGTGAACATGTGTATGTGAGGGTTTGTGTGTGTGGCATGTGTATGTGTAGCTATGTTGAGCCCATGTGTGGAGGCCAGAGGAAGGTAGTGAGATGAAGTCACAGCTGAATGGACTGCTGGGAGATAGGGCCATTAGAGGAGGAGGACCACTGGGGCAGGCCACCGAGAGGGCCACCCTGACACTTGTCTGCTTGCTGCCGTAGCCTTCCACCACGGCGTTCTGACTCATCATAGGCCTGGGAGCAATGAGGCTGGGCGTGGCTGGGACCTTTGAGATAGGTCCAATTACTTCCTCCCTAAGTTGTTTCACGAGGTATTCGTCATAGCAACAGAGAACTGACAAAGTGGCCTGGTTAAGCACGTAGGAAAGGGAGAGGCACCAGGGTCAGAGAAAACATCAGCATAGCTGTGAGGTAGAGGAAGGGCCATGAGCCAGGAATGCATACAGTCTCTAAGGCACTGGAAAAACAAGGAGATGGCTCTTCTTCAGACTTGCCAGGATAAAAAGAGCCCTGAAGTTAATGAGTGACGCTTAGCCTGCAGACCTGTTAAGGTCAATGTGTGCCTGACCAAGTTTGTGTAGTGTTTTACAGAATCAACAGGAAACTCAGGCTGCCAAAGGGCAGAGCTCTAGGAATTGCTTTGTGTGTGGTGCCTACAGCATGACCTCACCTCCTTCATCCTGCCTTACAGGCTTGCAGTTCTTCCCAGAAGTTCACCAAACAAGGCAGAGTTAAGTATCTACTTCAAAAAGGGTAGAGATATTCTGAATCAGTGCTCCCCAGAGCACATAGCCGGAGGCCCTTCTCTGCTATGTGCCTTTGGGAAGTGACCCCAGTTCCCATGCACAGAAGTAGAAGTTCTGCATTAGAGGCCAGCACACTCACAGTTTTAATAAATATCTCAGGCCACACGTGCACAGCACATGTGTGGAGATCAGGACAATTCTCAGGGTGGCTTTTCTCTTGCTATCCAGTGGGATAGGCCACAGAACTCAGATTTTCAAGCCTTCATGCAAGTGACTCTAACTCTGAGCCATTTCTATAGCCCTCTCTCTCCAGGCCCTGACAAATACCGATAGAAGGGAAGAAAAGAAGGAAGGAAGGAAGGAAGGAAGGAAGGAAGGAAGGAAGGAAGGAAGTCCTTAAGCTCAGGGTTTCAGTGCAGGAGCAGCTGGGTCTGTTTCTGAACCTGTGGCAGGCAGTGCATGAAAGCTGTTCACCTTAGGTCCACTGAACTCAGCGGCCCAGTGGTCTGAATGTGCCCAATGTCAGCAGAGGCTAAATCATCTTTAACCCTATTGTTTCTCTCAGGCTGCTTGGCTGATGGCAGCTTACACGGAAGTGGAAGCCCTTGTGAATAAGGGTGCTATACTTGGAGTCCAGCAGACCTCGGTGGCATGCCAAACACCGGGGACTGGAGAGATACCAAGAAGGGATTGGGGAAACCATCCTTCAGCTTCTGTGTGAGCCAACCAGCTTCTCCGGGCACAGAGTCCTCGCAGCTCTCTTAAGGCTTCACTGGTAGAGTTCCTCTGCTGTCTCACCAAATCATTTCCATTTCATTAAAAACTCATTTACTATTATTTTAATTATGTACGTGTGTGCCTGCATGAGCTTATATACAGCACAAGAGTGCACGTCCCTGGAACGGCCACAGGGTGGTGCTAATGTCATAGGCAGTTGTGAGCTGCCTGATGTAGGTGCTGAACTGAACTCAAGTTCTCTGCAAGAGCAGCCAAGAGCTCCTTACCAATGAGCACTCTCCCCTGCCTGAGTCATGGTTTTAAGTTTATGTAGAAAGCTCAGCTATGTGGCTCTGGGATTTCACAGCTCCCTCTAAAGGCAAAAATGGTGCAAGGCCCAGGGTGGGGCTTACCGGCTTTCCGAGTGTCAGTGGGAGCATCTGTGGCTGCTGTGCCTCTTGCTAGGTCCAGGTTGGTTTCATCTCTGCCTTCCCGTTCTTCGGGGACAACCATGCTAGCTTTTTCCCTGGGGAACAAATGCCATAAGCACCACTTGACTAATCTCAACATTCTAGATTAATCTTTTGGAAAAAAAATCTAATCTGTAAGATAATCTACATGCTGGCAATAGGGGTGTCTATAATCCAGGACTCAGGAGGCTGAGGCAGGAGGATGGTCTCTGACACATGACTGGAGTGGTAAGGCGAATGTAAGAGATACATTAGACATAAACACGTGGGAGGACTGGCTGGAGGAGCCCAGCCAATCCGCTGGGCCTCCTTTCCCACCCTCTAGAGTGCGAATAAGACACTCTTTTAGTGTCTGTTATGACCGAGCTTGCCCCAGTCTGCTGTAAGGCTAAGGCATTGTCAGCATTGAAAAACAAATGAAATCATTTAAAGTCAGATATTTTTCAGGTCATCAGGAGGGGGAGTTCAGTCAATGATAAAGAAAAAGAAAATTCAGGCATGCTGGACCTCTGATCCCTTCCCTCCCCTCCCCTCAGGTGGAAGGCCCCGTCAGCCACCTTTAGTTTCAAAGAGGAATCAAGGTCAATACAAGAATAAAGATTATGTCAGGGATTACAACAGACAACCAGCATCTGGGAAAGAGCAGTGCAGCAGCCCCTCCTCCAGGGTGTGCTTGAAAGCATTATGGAGTGTTCCCTCTTCTGGGTTAAGGGATCAGGATATAAATGTGATCACTGGGCTGGTAAGATGGCTTGACACTAAGCCTGACCACCCAAATCCAAGCTCCAGAACCCACTTGGTCGAAGAACTGACCACTGCAAGTTGTCCTCTGACCTCCACATAGTGTACACGTATGCATGCATGAATACAGACACACACATGAGATACACAGATAAATGTAACAAATATGATCATACAATCTTCCTAGTCTTCAGATTAACCCAGTATCTCACACACATGTGTTAGGAGACTGTTCCTGGATCACAGTAAGCTGGGTGGTTCCTGCTTAAAACCACAGAGCATGTGATGATTACCTCATGAGGCTTAAGAACTCAGAGTCTAATCTGTGCCTGGTGCCAGCGCAGTGCAGCTGGACTGTTTTCTCTTGAGGCTTGCAGCAGAGCTGAGGAAGCAAAGCAACCATGAACAAACCACAGAACTGAGAACTGTAGCAGACGGGGCTAGGTAAGACAGAAGGAACTGCGGGAGGGATGTGTTTTCCCCAGGCTTGGGGTGCTCCAGAGCACGACTCCCTGAAACACTGTGTAGAACAGAATGGTTCTGGTATATGGTTTTTCATCCTGTAGGCCAGGGCCAAGGGCTCTGTGAGCAAACCCTTGCCTGGCATTGACCCCAGCAGCAACTCCTGGTCACTCCCAATGTACCCGAGAGGACAAAGGCAAATCGTCAAGAACACAGTACCATTTTCTAACATTTTTGTGTTTTCTCTCTTTCTACCACTTTCACAAGTTTAAGCTACAGATCACATGGGGGTGTGAGGTGGAGGGGGGGCTTCCTGATGAATGTGCTGTCTGTGGGTGGATAGCACAGGCAGGAGCAGAGACCTAGTTCTTATTGGCATTGTTACCTGGAATAAGTCATTCAGTGGCTCCCTGCCTCAATTTGTTTTCTTACCTGTAAAATAGAATAATGCCAATAAAATCTATCTGAAAAGATTAACTACAGGGTGCATGTAACTCACTGGGTGGGTTCTTGGCATCCTGCATCTGCTATGGCTATCCAGGGTCACATTGAAACACCAAAGGTTTGCTTTCAAATGAGGCTGGTGCTGTTCCCATCTCTGAGAAAATGTACATCCCAGGAAGGAACTGCAGACCATACAGAAAGCAAGCCCTGCTGAGCAGCACACATTACAGTGTCAGAAGCACCCCTTCTTACCTACACCAGGCACTGATGTTTTCTGTTGTTGCGTTAATATGTCAGCGGTTTCCTTTTGCTCACTGTGTAGCCCAGGCTTGCTTGGAGTGCTAGGATGTCCAGTGCTATGTGAACGGCTATGGGGGAGCTCAGGAACCTCTGTGGATAACATCCACGCAAGCCCCCTTCTGCAATACAAGTGTCTCACAGCAAAGTCAAGCGATCTTGACTCCTCACTGCGACCTGCTGACCGGTTCAGCAGGCAGCACCTTGCCCTTGCTCTGCAGCAACTGACTCTGCGCTTGTCTGCAGTCTACTTCTCTCTGAGCCAGCTAAGCAGCCCTCATTTGCTGCCTGTCTGCCTGATTCATTCCCCTCTGGTTAGTTTAACTAGCAGCCCAGTGCTGTCCTGAACATCTCCCCTGGAGGTCTGGGCAAGAGTCTGCTCTTTTTACTGCCACAGTAAACTTTCTCCTAAGTTCAGGCAAGCTGCAAACACCCTATGGCGTTTCTCTTTCTTAAACTATCTTTGCTGCCAGCTTCCTCTCAGAAGACAACTGCACCCCTGCCTCCTTTCATAGACACCTTTACAAGAGCAAGAGCCCATGCCACCTGGAATGTGCTGTGCTGCCACAGAGTCCCCAGGCTCCAAGCTTTCGAACCTCTGGTCAGTGTGACCCCTTCCTCACAGATTTGCATATATCAGATGCTCAATAAGGAATGTCACTGCTGGACACTCAGAGGACAGTCAGGGCTCTGAGAACTGTGAATAAGAGGTCACTTGTGGAATAAGACATTACTTTTGAAATAGCTTTAAAACAGACACCCCCCCTTCATACACATACCCCCCACACACTCATATACACACACACATACTCCCTCACACACACAGTCACTCACACACACTCACACCCACACTCACCCCCACTCACACTCACAAACACCCCCACACTCACACTCCCACACACTCATTCACATACTCTCTCACACACACACTCATACACACACTCACCCACATATACACTCACACACATACACACTCACACACACACTCACACACACACACACTCACACACTTATACCCACAGTCACACACACTCACACTACACAATAGAAACAATCGCATGTGCACTTCCGTAGGCTAAGAGGACAGAGTAGCAAAGCTACTTGTCCAGCAGCTTCAAGGCAACGCCCCTGTTCTAGAAGATGTAAAGGGAAGGGCATTGTCCCAGTGGACTCAACTATAAATACCCATTCTAGAAATGTCTGTGCTGGATTAACCTGGGTATACAGATGCTGTACACCCACAGCCAACCCCATAGGTCACTGTCCACTCTGGGATTCTATCTAGCTCCATGCCAGGCTTACTGCCACTGGACACTGCCCATGTCCAAGGCATGGAAAGCCCATTACGAAGACATAGCTGTTGATTTCTTTGGCCGAGGCTTTCCCTGGCTTGGCTCCATGGCGCCCCTTAGATCATCAGTCCATGACAATTGTTTGTATGGCTCCTGGTGGGTCATCTCATCTCCCAGATGCTTAGGGGTAAGAGGGTAGCCAGTCAGTTTGTGACAGTCCCATAAACAGCTCCTTCTGTTAAACTGCCTGAAACCACCAGGATTGATAACACAACATCCATACTCAAAAATAGATACACATGTTCAGAAGAACAGCATGCACTTAGTTACAGTGGTCAGAATGGGGGAGGGGGTGGAGATTAAAAGTTCTTCCCAGGGCTGGAGAGATGGCTCAGCGGTTAAGAGCACTGACTGCTCTTCCAGAGGTCCTGAGTTCAAATCCCAGCAACCACATGGTGGCTCACAACCATCCGTAATGAGATTGGATGCCCTCTTCTGGTGTGTCTGAAGACAGCTACAGTGTACTCATCAATAAAATAAATAAATAAATATTTAAAAAAAAAAAAAGTTCTTCCCAGACACAATAGAGTGGCAACCCACCTGCAAACCAGAGATTTTATAAGGAGGGGAACCCACAATTGAAAGGAAGGAGCAAAGGGTACAGGGCTGGAGAGTGTCCCTTCTAGAACAGTGTTTTGTGGCATGTCTGGTGCCGACAGTCAAAAGCAGTTTCCCTTACACACATCTCTGATATGAAAAATCTGAAATTCAAAATGCTACGAATTGTAAAGTGTTTGGCTGGCCAACACAACGGCACAACAGGAAATCCCATGTCCAGCCCTATGCTGGTGGCACTTACAGAAGTGCCCAGCTTGTTGTCTCCAGTGACCTTCAGGCTACATGTCTAACACACACATGAACTTCATGATCAGGATTGGATCCCATCACTAACACATATATTACATACATGGAAACATCACAACATTTGAAATATTTCTGGTTCCAAGAATTTCAGGTAAGACATACAACTTGTATTCTACTCATAAAACCCATGTGAGCAACTGCAGGGGTAAGAGAGAGGGAAGAGAAGGGAAGTGTGTAGCAGGCAGGCGCTGGGCACCAGCCATCCCCCAACTCATGACCGTACTCCTCCTCAGGGAGCCGTTTAATATTCCCACCCGGAGTAGGACCCACGACAGGCGACAGGCGCAGCATGGTTCCCGCGGGCCACCCGCCTCACCTTATGAGCTTTTCAAAAGCTTCCTTTTCTTTCCGCAGAGCAGTCAGGTAGCGCTGCTCTTCCGTGGAGCCTCCATATATAAGAAAGTAAACCCTGTGGGTTAAGACATAAAGAACTCTTTTAGGCTGCAAAAATATAATCTTAGTCCCTGGAAGGTACAGCACCGTGGAGCGAGCATCTAGAGCAGCACCCTGGAGGCTCAAGACACAGGACACCGTGGAAGAGGAAGCCTTGCCCCTCCCCTCCCGAGTGCGCAGCTCCCCCCCCCCCCCCCCAGAGCGCAGGCTCCCACAGGCTGCACCAGACCCGCCTAGGGTTTTCACAGGGAAGTTTTCTTTTTCTTTTCAGCAAAAGGAGGAACATAGTTCAGGTAAAATCTGAGACAGAACTAGAGGATAAGAATTCTTTCTTCATAACTATAAACAAAAAGTGAAGCCCACAAAATCTCTTAGAGGCTTCATTTTTAACTTTTTCTTTGTACGTCTGCCAAATGATAGCTTAGAAATAGGAGACCATCATTAGAACCAGCTTAGGGAAATTCAGTGTTAACGACAAGCAAACAAATTAAACAGCTAAGACCTTTACCCTCTGTACTTTCTCTCAGGTCCCTTTATCCATGTCACAGCAGAAGGGAGCCAGGAACATGCGGATAGTATCAGGAATCTTAATTTTTTTTTCTTTTTTTTCCCCGGGTCTCTAAAGGGCCTTGCTTTAGGGCTGAAGAGATGGCTTGTTGGTTAAGAGTGCTTCCTGTTCTTTCAGAGGACCAGAGTTCAGCTCCCAGCACTCATGTTGGGTGGCTTACAGCTGCCTCTAACTCCAACGTTTACACCCTCCTGTGGCATCTTTGACAACTGGAACACTCACACACACACACACACACACACACACCATTAAAAATAAATGTTTTTAAAGATGTACAGAGAACTCATTTCTTTCTCATTTGTGGCTGAGGCTGAATCAATTCACACCGCTGCCACCTCATCCCCGTTAGAGGCATTTCCTTTTAAGCCTGCTTTACTTTCACCACGAATCTCCCAGACCATCTTACTTTGAAGTTAGAGAGGGGAAAGGCCACTGGGTGAGTTAGGAGATTTCAGCTGCTCCATGAATGTGACTGACGCTAACAACCTCCAGTTCTGAGTCCGAGTTTTTCATTGACAAAGCAAGCAGTTGAATTTCCAGATCTCTTCTGCCCTTGACAGGACAGTGTCCTGTTCGTGGGCAAGAAGCTTAGTGCACATAAACTGCCTGGGAGCTTGAAGGCTAGCAGGCTGTAGCTGACTATTGGACAATGCTCTTCTTGCTAGGGTCTTTACCCCTGGTCACCTTCTCTGCTGCCTCTACTGCCTCTGCTATGAAAGGCTGCCTCAGTTACCCTGTGACAAAGGCTCCTCTTGGCTGTGTTTCTGGTTCAGGCTGAGTTCAGGATATTACTTTTGGTATTTATTTCCCTTTAGCTAGCTGGAGAGCGAGAACACTGTATTCTTTCTTATCTGATAGATTGGTAGGTTTTTAAGATATTTCTAGAAACCCAAGAAAACCTGATACAAAAATTCCTGAAACATGTTGGTTTATGGGAAAGAAATTCAGAGTCACTTCTTAAGTTTGTAAGCTGTGAGATGGTGGGATGGCTCAGTAGGTAGAGGTGCTCTCTGTCTAATATGAGTGTGGCCCCTGGAACCCACAAAAAGGTGGAAGGCATCAACAACTCTTGCAAGCTGGGATGGTGTGCACACACCCACACATGTAAGGAAAAATGTTTAAGATCTTAAAAGGTGTTTTAGAAGATTAACAACATTTGGCTATGTCGCTATTATAACCTTTGGTATTGCACAGAACATTATCAATTTCCTAGACTTTCCAGATACTGTACCTGTAAGAGGCACACCGAGACATAAAGAACATGAACACGGTAAGGGAAAATACCAGGGGTGCTGGAAGCTTGCAGTTCAGCCTGGGTGGCTGACATCCATCTAGAGCATTCTCACATTCACCAGAAAGCAGTGTGAAACCAGCCTCATCATGGGTTAAAGGTAAGAAAACCACCATGCAGGCCAGACAGTTTTTGTATTAAAGCCTGAAGAACTGTCAGGCAGACTTGCCTCAGAGGTTTCCCAGGCCTGCTGGCCCTGTAGATCTCCAGCTGCCGAACAAAGGTGAGCTCTGCATCGTACAGAACCACGTATCTGGGCTCCACCTCGTGCAGTACCCGCGTCAGGGTATAGGGGTCGCTGCACCCCAGAAGCGGATGGATGATCGTCAGAGGCTCTTTCAGGATGCCATAGGCTGCATCGGATGACACATTTAAATCAAATGATTCATGCTTAATCTCTCCCCCACAGCCTTCTGGGCTACTGCCGGTCTGTCTGCGCAGGTCTTCCTCCACGGCGCCTTCTTCTGGCGGCTCCTCGGCAGTCCCCAACACTTGCGTCAGAGTCAGCTCTCGCTTCTTCCTTTTGAGAGCCCCCCTTTTGGTGGAAACACGCTCTTTGTTTTGGGCGTCTTTTGTTTTTTTGTCAGGTTTTGTAGTTCTCTTTGGGCCGTCCCCCTTTCTATAATTTACCCACACTTCTTCAGCTTTGCCATCTTTCTCATAGGTTTTCCTGTAGAGCCGCAGCAGGAAGGCTTCTGCTCCGGCAGTCAGGTAGTCCCTCAGCTGGCAACACGTGCGGTCATCGCTCGCACAGATCAACACCTGGCCTGCAATCAGACAGAACACATGACTGCTTGCTCACTCCCATCCTAGGCTCCTTTGGGCCGCCCTAAGTCCCCTTCTAAAAGAAGGCATCTTGCCCTCGTTAAAGGACCCAATTTACAAATTTTTCAAAAGGGGGCTTGGGTAGCAACCACAAGCTTTCACCTCTGGACCCATCTAAGGAGCAAACCTGAAGCCAGAACTACTTAGAGCCAAGGAACAGTGGAGGTTTTAATGAAGCTTCAAATGAATCATTTTCTAGAGGCTCTTAGACGCTAAAGTACATTTCAAATGGATTATAGAGTTAAATGTAAAATCTTAAATCACAAGAAAAGATGGCTTGTCTTCACTTCTGGGATGGAGGTGGTTTTCTAGCCTTAAAAGTAGAAGAATTATTCTCAGAGAAGATTGTATCTAATGGTTAATTTTAGAGCAGTAAAAACAGCATTTAAAACTCCAAAGACAGAAACCAGCAATGATAGATGGCACCATTATTACTAAGAAAGAGCAAACAAACTGGTATAGTTTAAGTTGGTCAAGACAAGATATCATGCATTAAAGACCCAGCTGAAAGCAGGTCACTAATATCAAAACTTAAGATGTCTCAATACAGTTGCTATATATGTGTAATTTCTGGTTACAGTTAGCTAAGTAAAATGAAAATGAGTATTATAAAAACCAATGTCATGACACACCTCAAGCCCCAGAGTTCAGGAGGCAGAGGCAGGAGGATGGCTTAAAGTTCAAGGCCAGTCTGGCTTACAAAGTGAGTTTCTAGTTAGCTGCTTGAGAATTGTGCAATCAAGTTATATATATATATAAAAAAAAGTCACAAAATCCCCTCAGTTTTTTTTAATTAAAAATTTTAATTACATTCATTTTATTTAATTTATTTAGTGTGTGTGTGCACAGGTCAGAGAACCCTTTTCTCTTCCACCACTATGTGGTTTCCAGGTTATGAACTCAGGTCATCTGGTTTGGCAGAAAAGGCCTTCACCCATGGAGCCATCTCACCAGCCCCTCATAACGCTTCAAGTTATAAACTTTGTGTCGGGCCATATGCGAAGCTATCCTTGAGTGCAGGCCAATGGGTGCGTCCTAGTGACATTACAATGTGAAACAGGAAACACACCAACGTCGACATCCTCAGTGTCTGCTGGAGACAATTTTGCCCCCACCTCATATTTTATTAATTTTTTCACTTTACCTAAGTGAGCACGTGTGATGCTGGGTTGTGGGTCACAGTACTGTAACTGGGTAATTATCACCAGGATCTACTAATATAAGGATTGAATGCCTTTTTAAAAAAGTGTGTGAGTGTGTATGAGCGTGAACATGCAGATGCCCGTGGAGGTGGGAGAGGGCGCTCGATCCCCTGGAGCTGGAGTTACAAGTGGAGCTATCTAATGTGGGTGCTGGGACTGAACTCTCCTCTGCAAAAGCAGCCAGTGGTCTTAGGGCTGAGCTGTCTCTCCAGCCTCGTGAGTGACTTTACGTTAGTGCACAGTCATTGGTTTCCTAGCGGATTCTTCAGTGTCATTTCCCTGGTGCCCCCCTCCCCCTCCCCCCTGCCCGTCGCCCTGCCCTGCTTGCCTTTACTGGATTCTTCAGTGTCTTTTCCCAGGTGCCCGTTGCCCCGCCCCGCTTGCCTCTACTACTTGGCAGTTCAAAGGTTCAGTCTGTATTTTCAAACATGCATTTACCCTCTATCTTGCTTTATTTTTAATTTACACATCTGTCTTAGTCCACAGTGCTCGTCTGTTAGCATGCTTGTGTTTGAAGGCAGAAGGCCTACAACTGGAATTGTTTTTCGAGGGCTCAGTCAATAGAAGCATTTAAGCTTCTTTGGAAAGATACTTGACTGGGCATATGAAACAGAAAAACCATTAGCCGATCCCTGGGCAAGTCTACGTTTAAAACCTGGTGAATACAGACATGGAAATGTGCTGAATCTTTAAGTAGAAGCCCTGAGAGGCTGAACAATAAAGACTGTGTTTCATGAATACAAAATGACTCAACCTGGAGAAAGCTCAGCGAATGAAGGAACCGAAGCAGCGCTGGCTCCAGGCGACTGACACTGAATGCCTGTGTGCCCTGTGGGGTTTGGTGGCACCTGCCTGGAATCTAGTACTAGGAAGCAGAATCAGAATGTCCAGGCTGGCCTCTGATGCAAAGCAAGCTCCAAGCCAATCTGGGCCAATGAGATCCTGTCTCAGAAACAACAGAGTAGGCCAATGTCATCACCTCCTTTGTTCCTACCTGGGCCACCAAGGGCTTCGCTCTCCTTATTTTCTGCTTCGATTTCTTTCAGGACTTCAGTCAGCGCCTCCCACTTTGGATTGCTTTCTAGAACCAGTTCTTTTTTTGTTTCTGTACAGAAATAAATGATAATCTTATTCTGTATGATGTTCAGCCAGAACCACACTTTCCCACAACAGAAAACTAACATCACTGTGAATGGACATGTCCTTAGGTTTCCACCACTCGACACAGGAGCTACTTCCCTAGAAAAGCCTGCTGACAAGTTGAGCTGAAACGTGCAGAGGTGACAGGGTGGACAGACCATGTGCATGGCCAATGGAGACTGCTCTGCACTGTCAGCTGTGATGCTATACACAAGCAACAATGCAAGGGATAGGTGCCATCAATACTTATTTCCCTCCCTTCCTCCCTCCTTC